GAGGAAAAATTAAACACACATGCAAAGGGCTAACTGGGTAGGCCGTAGTATTCCAGGAAAGGATATATGGTTTGGAAATGTTTTAACAAACTAAGTATGAGTCAACAACATGATGCTGTTGCAAAAATGGTCTGTCTTATTCTGTGATATATTAACAGGAGTGCCATACATTAAAAAAATAGGAGGTAATCAATTTGTTTTACTGAGCAGATGTCAGCGGAAGTATTGTGTCTAGTTTTGGGCATCACTCTAAATATGTCATGTAGAGAGGAGATTCCAGAGGAGTAAATGGCGAGAGTCCATAGGAAAGCAGCAAGAATAGTACAAGTTGTAGAAGCTAGACTAGAAAGGGCTAAAGGGTTTGAGTTTTGTTTGCCTTTAGAAAAGACTAAAGACATCATATGAATCCTATATTAAGTTAATGGTTCTACAAATAAATCATTTGTTTGCCCTACATAGTACAGAATAAGAAATAGTAAATTTTGTTTGTAGCAAATAAAATTTAGGCAAAGCTTTCTAACAATATGGATAGTGAAACACTAGAGCAGGTAACCTAGGCAGTTTAGGGTATCTCCTACTCTGGAGGTTAAGAACAAGTGAGACAAACATCTGTTGGGGATAACCTAGGTAGTCCTGTGTGAGTGCAAGGGGTCTTACTAGGTTGCTTTTAATGCTACTTTTATATGATTACAGACAAGTTTGTGGGGTCAATGTGGCACAGTAACATTAACTAAATACACAAACAAATAATCCCGAAGGGTCAACAGAAATTTCCAAAGGATAAAGTTATCTGAGATGATGGAAGTAATATAACTTTCTTCTCTGAGTTACCCTTTTTACCTGAATCCAAGATGACTTCAAATGTAAGATGACCACCAGTAATTAGATTCTATACATGGAAAATTATAAACCGTGCCTGCCACAACAGTGGGTGGAGCAGATGGGGGACAGGACACACATTTGTTATAAATTTCCATGCATCTAATTCTAGATCCATAGAATCTAATTATTGGAGGGTCGTCTTAAATGTGTTGCCCCCTACCTTCCCCCACTGCAGCAGGAAATGTAGAAGCAGAGGAGCAAGCGCAAGCAGCAGTGGGGGAGGGTGGGGGGCAATCTGCCCCTGCCCCTTGCTCCCCCCACCTACACCCATACTACTTGTACCCCTAGTGCCTGTGCCCCAGCCACTCGGCTCCTCCACCTCCACCACTGCTTACCCTATGCAGAAGCTCTGGCTCCAGCCCTGGCCCAGCCCCAAGTCAGTGCCAGAGCCTGAGCCAGAGCTTGAGCAGCTCCCCTGCTGCTGCATGGCCTCTCCCACACCCTCTTGCCTTCATTGTGCTGTCTCCCCCAGGTTGGATCCAGAGTCAGAGCTGGACTCACAGCAGCCACCTGCCTTGGACTGTACTCAAATCCAAGATAAGGTTTCTTCTTCCCCCATGCTGAATGGGGAGGGGGAAAACCTCACCTTGGATTTGAGGAAATACTGTATATTTCAGTAGTGCTTAAACATCTCATCAGAGATTGGTGCTCTATTGCATTTAGTACTTTATTAACACTTAAGGCAGTCCCTGCCCCCAAAACAGCAGTTCATAATGAGTCTACCTGGTTTAGAATTTGTATGTATAGGCTCTAAAACAGAGTAAAAAAAGCAACTGAGATACAGAAATTTTATCCAATGATTATTCATGACCTGTATTTTTGGATCAGATTTTTGCTGCTAAAAAGACAGAAGCACTTGAAGTGCACTCCACTAAGAGAAGCCCTGCATACAGAGAAATGAGAAAGCTAAAGAGTGGAGTTATCATTAATCATACACTACTCTCCTCTTCAAATGTCTACACAATCATCCTACATTATTCAGTAAGTTCCACACTTGCCATAATAGTCAAATAAAGCCTATTCTTCTTTCTTGTTCAAAATCAGTCTACAAAGGCCCGTTCATTGAACCCTAGGGCAAGACATAAGGAATTATTGACTTCCTTTACAGTACAAGCATACAACATGCTACGTTGATAAGATCCACATAATTCTCTCAAGTTATTCTTTTTTATACTTCCAACAAAACAATACAGGCTAAGACATTTAGATGCTGAATTCCAATTCAAAGTTGTTAATCACAATAAGAGACTTTTAGTACTGAAATGAAAGGTTGGGATTTTCGAGGGGGACTGAGTGAAATACTATTGGTGGGATTCTCAAAAGTGCCTTAGAGCACCGTTTTCAGAATTGTCATTTGCCAAAATCTACAATTAGGCAGCTAAATGTGGACTTCTCAGATGAAAGCAAGTCCCACATCATATTCCCAAAGGTAGTAATGGGAAGGAGGTATTTAATAGGGCTGTGCAAAGCTTTGGTTGCCGATTCATTTCGGCGGCCGAATTTCTGAATCTGAATCAAATCAGGAGACCCTTTAATCTCACTGAATCAAATCAGAATTATCTGAATCATTTTGGAGAGATTCAGAAAGATTTGATGATTCAGACGTAGATGCAGATTTAAATTGTTTTCTACATACCTCAAGGTACCAGGTGGCTCATGAATGCTGAAATGCTGGGGAGGATGGAGTGTCCCACAGGAGTGCACAGAGGTCCCTAGCATGCTCAGCAGCAGACCCAGAAGTGGGCCAGAAGCGCTTCCAGTCCACTTCTGGGTCTGCCACCAAGCACGCAGGGAACTCCCCTCCCCCCTCACACCCCTGTCAGATGCTCCATCCGCCCCAGGATTGCAGCGTTCATGAGCTGTGCCTGGTACCTCAAGGTATGTAGAAAAAACATTTAAAGCTGTGTCTATAGCCGAATTGCCGATTCTCTGAATCAGCGTTGAATCTACAGATTGGGATTCAGCCGAATCGAATTGGGACAGTGATCCGAATCAAATAATCGAATCACTGTCCCCGATTCAGGCCAAATCCAAATCAAATATGGCCCATTTTGCACACCCCTCATATTTAAACACCTTTAGGATCCAGGCCTAAACCAGGTAAGAGCAAAAGTACCATAAAAAACTCATCCAGTGTCTACAATGGACTTAGGAGTTTGATGTGCCTCAATTAAAAAAAAAAAAAAGGGCTATCACCAATGGGAGTTAAGGCACAAGTGGCACATTAGTACTTAACTGTCAACTAAAGTCAGTAAGGGCTGAGTATACCCACCTGCCAGTCATGCCTTTGAAACATTTCCCCGCACACATAGGTGCTTGGGGAAAGCCTGTGTCAGGAGATTTAATGCCTTGCTTTTCAAAGTCTCAGCCTTAAAATATAATAATTTAATCTC